TGTAGGGGAGCTACTGGGCTGGTAATGGCAGGAATCGATTCGGAGACATGAGAGTCGTCCGTCAATCGCATGCAGAGGTCTGAACTCGGTCTCCTACTCGAGCTAGGTCCGCAAAACTATTCGTATCGCTCGAGTCATCTTGACAGGGACTGTCGGCTTTCTGTAGTTAACTCGAGCTCCAGGGTAGCTACAGAGCTTATACGTACAGAAAACGATGCAGAATAATGATGCGTGTTTGTCTGTTGCGTCCAGAGGGCTGAAATCGGTTTGCTACTCGAGCTAGGTCAGCGAAACTATTCGTATTGTTCGAGTCATCTTGAGGTGCTGTCGGTTTTGGCGCGTAGCTCGAGCTGTGGGAGAGCTACAGAGCTGATGCGCACAGAAAATGAGTCAAAATCATCATGCGCGTTCGTCTGTTGCAGAGCGGTCTGAACTCCGGTTGTATAGAAGCTAGAGAGCTGGCACGCACGACGACCAATCCAGTAGCATTAGCAGCGTTCGTTTGTTGCATCGAAAGGTCTGAACTCGTATCCGAGATAGGTTTACAAAAATATTCGTATTCGACAGATTTTTTTCCGAATGGTGAATTTCTTCACTAAACTCGAGCGGCCGGAAAATCAGAAGGAAATCGTGCGGCGTGAAGCATCTAGACGCTTGGTTTGGGATTGTTGTGAACGCAGACGCCAAACACAGATTCGTACTCTGCTACTTTCTCTCTTAATGTATTTTTTACACGCTGCAGATGAGCTACAGAACTGTTCAGCACAGCAATGGGATATCACTAGACGCCTGAGATCAATCTGCTATCAGCTCGGGCTGGAAAACTATTCGTTCTTTGCTATTTTTGGACATAATATATGGTCAGGGAGCTCTACGAGTCCCCCGGCGGTAAGCGCCGGCGCCCAGTTGGCTCGACAAATCTCGACGGAACTTTTGCTGACTTTTGGTCGGTTGAAAATTTGTTTTCGAAATTCAACCATTCGTTAGAGCTCTAGTTTTTTTTTTCTTTTCCAATGATATTCGATATTATTCCCGCTCGCAGTCTTGATCTCAGCTTGATCGGGTATCTGTTACTGCTAAAAAGCACACGGGCGGGATCGGCTGTTTCGAGTCATCTCGACAAATGTTGTCGTTTTTTGTACTTAACTCGAGCTGTAGAGCAGCTACAGAGCTGATGCTTACAGCAACCGATTTAGAATCATCAGGCGCGTTCGTCAGTTGCATCTAGAGGTCTGAACTCGGTCTGCTACTCGAGCTAGGTACGCGAAACTATTTGTATTATGCGAGTCATCTTGACAGGTGCTGTCGGTTTTCTGTGATTAACTTGGGCAGTAGGAGAGCTACAGAGCTGGTACTCACAGAACCTGATTCAGAATCAGCAGGCGCGTCTGTATCTCGCATCTAGAGGTCTGAACTCGGTCTACTACTCGAGCTAGGTCCGCGAAGCTTTTCGTATTCCACAGAATTTCCGACTTACCGCGAGCTGTAGGAGAGCTACAGGGCTGACGCGCATACGTAACCGAGTGAGAATCATCATGCGCGTTCGTCTGTTGTATCCAGAGGTCTGAACTTGGTCTGCTACTCGAGCTAGGTCTGCGAAACTATTCGTATCTTTCGAGTCATCTTGACAGGTGCTGTCGTTTTTTGTACATAACTCGCTCTGTAGAAACTCTTCAGTGATGATACTCACAGAAACCGATTGCGAATGATCAGGCGCGCTTGTCTATTACATCCAGAGCTCTGGACTTGGTCTGCTGCTCGAGCCAGGTTCGCGTAGCTATCAGCGCTCGGGCTGACAAAAAAGTATTCGTTCTCTACTAATTCTTGGAACATATGGAAAGGAAGCTCTACGAGTCTCCCGGCGGTAAGATAGGTTGACGGTTTACCGCCGGCGCCCAGTGCCGCGTCTGCCAGTGAATTTTCAGGTCCGTAGCTGCAGTATTACTATCAAAACACTTGGCGGAACCGTCTTCGGGTGAGAACTGAAAAATCTTCTTTTTCGAGTTTCCAGCTCGCCTATGAGAAAGCTCCCCCAACGTGTTCCAAGCAGCGCCGTGTGATAAGAGAGCTCTACGAGGCTCCCGGCGGTAACCTGGTTGACGGTTTACCGCCCGCTCCCAGTTCTGGCGCGCTGGAGAGCTAGTTGGCAAGAAAAACCCCGACGGACCTTTTGATGACTTTTGGTCGGTTGAAAATTTTGTTCTCGAAATTCAACCATTCGTTAGAGCTCTAGTATTTTTTCCGTGATATTCGATCTTATTCCCGCTCGCCATCTTGATCTCAGCTCGATCGGGTACCTTTTACTGCCAAAAAGCGTCCAGGCGGGATCGGCCGTTTCGAGTCATCTCGACAGGCGTTGTCGGTTTTTTGCACTTAACTCGAGCTATAGGACAGCTACAGAGCTGATACTTACAGAAACCGATTCAGAACCATCAGTCGCGTTTGTCTGTTGAACCCAGAGCTCTGAACTCGGTCTGCTGCCCGAGATAGGTTCGCGAAACTATTCGTATTGTTCGAGTCATCTTGAGAGGTGCTGTCAGTTTTCAGTACTTAACTCGGGCTGTAGGGGGGCTACAGGGCTGGTAATCACAGGAATCGATTTGGAGACATCAGGCACGTCCGCCTGTCGCATCCAGAGCTCAGAACTCGGTCTGCTGAGCTAGATCCGCGAAACTATTCGTATTGTTCGAGTCATCTTGAGAGGTGCTGTCGGTTTTCTGCTGTTAACTCGGTCTGTAGGGGGGCTGCAGGGCTGGTCATCACAGGAGTCGATTCGGAGACATCAGGCGCGTCCGCCTGTCGCATTCAGAGGTCTGAACTCGGTTTGATACTCGAGCTAGGTTTGCGAACCTATTCGTATTGTTCGAGTCATCTTCTGAGGTGTTGTCGATTTTCGCACGTAACTCGGGCTGTAGGAGAGCTACAGAGCTCGTACGCACAGAAAACGATCCAGAAGCATCAGCGGCGTTCGGCTGTTGCATCGAGAGGTCTGAAATCGCTTGGGCTGAAAAACTATTCGTTCTCTGCAATTGTTTTTTGACATAATATATGGTCAGGAAGCTCTACGAGTCCCCCGGCGGTAAGAAAGGTTGACGGTTTACCGCCGGCGCCCAATTGGACCACCAGGCCCGGGCGGACAAAGTGTTAACTTTTGGTCGGTTTTGCTAAGATTCGAAAGTTATTTGACCATTCATTTTGAGGAACCAGATTTACTACTACTACTACTACTACTACTACTACAACTACTACTACTACTACTACTACGACTACTACGACTACTACTACTACTAACTACTACTACTACTACTACACTACTACTACTACTACTACTACTACTACTACTACTACTACTGCTACTGCTACTGCTACTGCTACTGCTACTGCTACTGCTACTGCTACTGCTACTGCTACTGCTACTACTACTACTACTACTGGCGGTCTCGTGCACCACATCACCACGGCTCAACCACCTAGGCAAGAGCGTCCTTGTGGCTGCCTCATTACCAGTATGTAGCGCGCACCTCTTCTGGGTGAAAGGGCGGGTCTGACATGCTTGCAACGTCAGGCGCTCGAGCCGTGGGCAGTTGGGCCAACAGCCCAGGGTAAAGCGCCAGCAACGGCATAGCAGCACACGGGGCGACCCCAGTACCGCCACCCAGGCGGACTAGCGCGGGAAGCCGCGAGGCGACGCCTGGGTGGCAAGCCCAGGGCAGATTTGACATGCATGCAGCAACTCGCGCCTGGCCGAGGGCAGCTGATCCCTGCAGCAAAAAGTAAGGCGCAGGCGGCATCGTAGCAGCACACGGGGCGACCCCAGTACCGCCACCCAAGCCTACAAGCGCAAGAAGGCGCGAGATGAGGCCAGGATGGCAGGCCAAAGTGGCCAGGCGCCCGACGGCGACGCTGCAGTACACGGGGCTGCCCCAGCACCGCCAGCGAGGCCAACGAGCGCAAGTGAACGTGAGGAGGCCGAGATGGCAAGCCAGTTGGCGAGCCAAGGTGGCAGAGTGCACAGGTAGCCATTTGCCTAGCCTGGGCACAGGCTACAGGTGACGCCACGCGAGTGGGGGCGCCGCTATGGGCCCGCCGCACTACTGAAAGCAGCAAGCAGACAATTTGGCATGTACTCACGCGGCCTGCCAAGGCCCTGGAACCTGCCGGGCGTTATTCCTCAGGCCTGCTGGCCTGTTCCCTGCGCGATGGCGGCGAAGACGTGCGACGGCAGCGCCCGCGCCTCCCCGCCGAGGTCGCCACTGTTCCCCGCCTGCCCTGCGGGCCCAAAGATCTGGCGCTCGAGGTCTTCACCAAGGGCCACGTTCAGGGCTGCAGCGCTTGGGGCCTGCTGCGGGAGCACGTCCGTCTGCGGTGGCGGGTGGGTCGGCGGCGGCGCCGCGTCAGGGGGCGCCGTCGGCGGCGGCGGCGGGGGGCCCATGATGGCCACGGCATCTGGCGGGGCTCCCGCTGGCGGTGGTGGCGGGTCCTCGCTGCCGCGGGCCCCGCTCGCTGGTGGGGCACTGGCGTTGCGAGCGGGGGTGGCGCGCGGGGCGACCCCTGTGCCACCCCTGCCGCCCGAGAGGCTGCCCACTACTACTACTACTGCTACTACTACAACTACAACAACAACTACTACTACTACTACTACTATTACTATTACTACTACTACTACTACTACTACTACTACTACTACTACTACTACTACTACTACTACTTGTACTACTACTACCGATACTACCACTACTACCACTACCACAGCCACAACCACAACCACAACCACTACCACCTCCTCCTCTTCCTCCTTTAACCCTCCTCCGGATTTCGGCGGTCCTGGGGCCCCCAGCTGTTTTTCGGCGGCCCCTGGGCCCAGGGGCGGCGATCAAAACATTGAAACGTGTGGATGCTAACGAAACTGCGCCGCCCCCCTCCTCGCCCTCCTCGCCGTCGGGGTTTCTGGCGGCCCCAGGGCCCGAAGCGCGTTTTTCGGCGGCCCCCAGGAGCTCAAC